ACACAACCATAAATCCTACCGAAAAATATAGTCTTTATAAAAAAAAGAGCAGTTTATATGCAAAGCTTAATTCTTTCCCTAGAGAAAAATTGTTTGCTGAAGAATTATTCAACAGTTATTTGACTTGTTTTTTAAAATGTAACAAAGTTTATGAGGCTATATTAGTTTGGAAGAAGATATATTGCCTAAATCTTGAGTTAGGTCAAGGTGCATATTTGTATTTAAAGAGATCTTTTAAGTCTATTATAAATGCTTATAATACTCCCTCAATAATAAAAAGATCGAACAACATAAACTTTACGAAAACACTTAATAGTACTCTTTTTACTGACTACACCCCCAACACTGATCTGGTTACCCTAATTAATAAAGAATTAGACGAGCTTCGGTTTATGAGTCTTCAAGGCTTTAATAATAGCACGACGTTTATCAACAGGCTCTATCTTTTTAATTTTTTAGTTGAGATAAACTATATACTAAAGGATTTTGAAAGTTGTAGAAAGCTGTTTGAGGAAGTTAGTCAAGACCCTTTTACCACAGCGATCGGCTCTACTGATAACAATACGACGAACTCAGAAACCGCTTCGGATGGTTCTTATTTTTTTTTTTAATTGTATATTTTATGTATTGTTTTTTTCTTAGAAAGGCAAGACCGAATAAGTAAAGAATTACAGCGAGGAAAAAAAAAACCCCAATTTTTAAAAATTTTATACTATGAAACTTTTTTAATAGCTGTAGAAAGCGTACTTAAAAGCGATTTTAACCACAGTAATAACTCAGTAAAAGACTTAAGCAATAACAAAGATATGGCTGTCGATCCCAAAGCTTTTGCTAACTATAATAACAATTGTTTTAATGTGGATAAATCAGCTACTAAAGTTAAAATATTGGCAAATTATTTCGAAAAGTTGCAAACAAACAAGATTTTTATAACAATTAAAGCGTACTCACTGCTTTTTAGTAACCTGGATTTTAATTTATTAAAGAAAGTTACCACCTTTCAAGCGGATCCACACTTTCATTTAGCCCTTATTAAATTTTTATTTTCAAGTAAACAATCATCTTTGGCTATAGCACATTTTGATGAATTATTAATCTCTTTTCGTGGTCGTTGGCCTCCTCTTTGGTGCAAGTCCTATTCTTTTACTTTCAATAAAGATAATTCTCATCCTGCAAGTTCTTGGATCACAGCGATATTTAACGTTCTCCTAGTAAACTGTTTAAAAAGTGGCTTGCTTACCATAACATTTAAGTACTATAAACTTTTACTTTGAATCTTTATATTATTCTGTACTTATATAAATAACATTTATAAGGATTTTAAAAGTTTACCTTTAACAATAGGTATTTAGGCCAAATGGAAAAGACAGGGGTCCCTATAGATTCTTACACTTATGCGAGTCTTATAAAGGGTTGTCTGAAAATAAAATCTTACGATACATGCCATTTTTTTATAAAAAATGTTCAGGAACAGAATATTCCACTTATTCCGTCTTTAAGTACGGCAGTACTTGAAGGTACTCTAGCCCTTATTTTTACTTCTCAGATTAGCTTTTAAATGTCTATTTTAAGGGTATGTAAAAACTGGTTCATTACACAGTGCTCTTAAATATTTTGAGTCAATTAAGATGGAGAAGACCAGCGTAGATACTGGAACCTATAAAATGATAATAATATCATGCATTCGTAGCAGGTACCGCTTTGTGCCCATTTAGTTACTACTTTTTATTATATCATCTCTATTATAAGAAAATTAATAATTCCTTTTATATACAAGAAATATTGAGTTAGCAGAATATTACTACGAAGAGCTTGTAAGCAGAAATCTAGAAGTAAATTACAATCTACTGGCTACCATGGTCTACAGCTTTTTTATGGAAGGAAGACTACGGCTATGCTTGAAGTATTTGGATATACTTGAAAAACGTAATGAATTAAAAGTTAACAGAAAGGAAGATTCTGAACTCGTTTTCTTTGCAAAAGAAAACCTGAAAAAGAGGGAAAAGTTACTTTTCCAAATAGCAAAATGTATATAAATTATAATTTATGATCCTGTTCGGTGTACAAGATTCTTATAAATCCTGAGCATTCTTAAAAATTAGCAAATAAAGAGTAATTATTTTTTCATTGTAAAATTATATTTCAAGTTTTTTTTTAATGTAAAAGCTCTGTAATCCCTGAGCGTTATTATAAAAATAACCTATAAGTATTTTTGTTTAATAAGTTAACTATTAATATAAAATAAATGCTGCGTAAGCCATAACTTAGAAATTCAACAGCAGCTGAAAAGTTTGCAGGGTTACTACGAGATAGTCGTATGAAAAGCTATAACAAATTTTTAAGTTTTTCTCCATTTCCTTAAACTTCGCTATAATTATGCAGTGGAATATAATTCCCAAGAAAATATTAAACCATTTTTCTTTTATTTTATAATTTGCTCAATTCTATTCGCTCAACACTTTTTTATCTTAACACCTTCACGAGCTTTCATTGGCCGTAACAAACTCCGCTCGCATTATTTATTCGATTGGAGATCATACTGGATTTTACTTGGCAACTTTTAGTAAAAAAACAAAAACAAAAAAGGAGGCACAAAAAAGGAAGCCAGATTGGCTGTATTTACCTTAAGATCCTTACAATTACAATTTTGTTTGTTTTTTTATTGCGCAATAGAGTAAAAATCATGTTTATTTCATTGGTGTAGTTATTTTTATATCTACCACTTATTGATGACGATTTGTATGTTTCAATTAAAGGATATAAAAATTTAAGTTCTTCTTATAGGTGTTTACTTTAGCACAATATAAAAAAAAACCAGAAAAGGAAGAAAACAAAAACTTCGAGATTACTGAAAAAGGCGAAAATTAAACCAATTACAGACAAAAATGTTAATTAATGAACATCACTTGTTCGGTCTCAATTTAATATTAAAATAAACCAAATAAAGAAACAATCTAACATTTGAAATACAAATTACCAATATATTTCGTTATTGTGTTTTTATATAAATAAAAAAATTAATAGAGCTAATAAAAATATAAAAAAGTAAGAAAATAAAATTTTCATATATAATAAACAAATAAAAAAAGTTTAAGATTTAAAAAAAGAAAAATGAAAATTTTTTTGTATATAAAAAAAAATATGGATTAAATAAAATTTTATTAAAAACATTAAAAAGGTTTTGTAGTTTAAAAATAAATAAATGTTATTTAAAAGAAAAAACTTGTTTGTGTATATAATAAAAAAATTATAGAATTAACATAAAATAAAATTTTCATATATAACAAAAATATTAAAAAAAAAAAGTTCTAAGTTTAATAATGAATAATTGTAATAACTTATAGAAACTTTTTTGGTATATAAAATAAAAAATTATAAATTAAATAATATAAATTAAATTTTCATAAGCAATAAAAATTAAAAAAAAAATTGTAGTTACAAAATAACTAATATTACAGAAAAACCTTTTTGTGTATAGAACGTAAAAGTATCGGAGTTACAAATTAATAAAGAGAATAAAAAGTAAGTAAATTGAATTTTTTTTTTCATTAATAATGAAGATAATATTAAAAGTTTTAGCGTTAAAAAAATAATTAAATGTTATATTTTGAAAAAACTTTTGTTTGTTGTATATGCAGTAAAAAAATTGATAGAATTGATATTTAATAAAAGAAATAAAAAATAATAATAAAAATTTTTATATACTTAGTTATTTCGATAAATGTAATATTATATAAAATAATATAATATAATATTAAATCAAATAATAATAAATACTGAAACATTAAAAATGTTTTGGTTTGTCCAAATAACGTAATAAGTAAAGAAATAATTATAATTATTATAATAAATATTTAAAAAAAAAACTAAATAAAATGAAAATAATAAAACAATCAAAACAAAATTTAATTATAAAACAATTATAAAAATTAAAAAATATAAAATTTATAGAAAAATAATAAATCTTCATTATAAAAAAATAAAATAAAGCAAAAAAAAGTGATATATATAATATAATTGAGAAGTAAAATTAATAAATATATAAATATAAATATAATATATTTAATTGGTGCGTTCCATTTAAATCAAAAGAAATAATGAAATTAATGAATATAATAAATATAAAAAAAAATTATTAAATGGAGATAAACATAAATAATATAATAAAAATTTAGAGAAAATATATACTAAAATTTATATATATATAAAAAATATAAAACATATAAAAAAATTAGTATATTATTAAAAAAGAAAAGTTATATAATATATAAAGAATTAATTCAACATAAAATAAAAATAACTTTTTTAATTGGTTTTCCATTTAAATCAAGATAAATAATAATAAAATAATATATTTTTCTTAATATCAATACAAAATTAACAGATGTAAAAATAAAAATGTTAATATAATAGGAATGCATTGGAAATTTTAAATAAAATAATAAAATTAAAAATATTATTTATAAGCAAGTAAAATAAATTAAAAGAAATTAAAAAAAATATATAAAAATTATAAAATTTATAGCAAATTTAGTAGATAGAATAATTACTAAACTTTATTAATATATTATTAATTTTAAATATAAAACTGAATAAGAAAAAGAAATATTAATTAATACTATAATATAAAAATATAAAACCAACAAAAATAGGATATTAGAAAATTATAAAAATATATATATAATAAAATGCGGTAAAAATAATTGAAAAATGTATAAAAGTTAAACATAAATTATAATAAAAATAAAAAATTATCAAAAAAAAGAGAAAATAAATGTAAACAACTTAAAAATTAAACAAAATACAATAAAATTTTTATAAAAATAAAAATTATTTAAACAATTTAGAAAATAAATGTAAACAAAATAAAAATAAAAAAAAACAAATAAAATTATAATAAATAAAAATTAGTTAAATACCAAAAATAAATATAAAAGAAATCATAATAAAACAAATAAAATAAAATTTAATATAACAAAATAAGTTATACAACAATAAATCTATTTATTCTTCGTTTGATTGGTGCCATATTCATCAACAGTAAATTCCGCCATCACGTCGTTAAGAGGATTATGCGGAGCGGGTGCGGGAATAGTGTCCAACTGCCTTCTTTCGCCTTTCGAGCGCGCCGGAAAAGTCGGAAAAAGTGCTTAAAAATAATAGTAAGGAAGTATAATACAAACAGAATAAAAGTTTTAAATATAAATAAATAAAAATTATTAATATTAAAATTTAAAAATATAAAAAAATATTAATCACTAATAAAATAATAAAAAATTGATAAAGCTATAAACATGAGAGTAATGAAAGTGATGAAAATATCAAATAAAAGAAAAAAATCTAAAACTAATTTATAATTTAAAAAAAAAATAAAAAGTTTTATGAAGAACTATTATTATAAAATTTTTTATAAATATAAGTAGTAAATAACTGAATGATGTAAACAAAAAATTTTTAAAAATAATAAAAAACTTAAAGAAGTGACGGAAGTAAAAAAATAATAAACTTATTAATATAATAAAAAAAGCATTAAACTTTAAAGGAAATATTTATGAAAAAAGTTTAATAAAAGAAAACGCTTGAAATAAATAAGAAAAATTTTATTATTATAAAAAAAGGAAATTCAAAAGTAAATATATATATATATGTTATATGATAATTTTTATTTTAAAAATATAAATATAAATGAATATTTAAAAAAATAAATAAGTTGTACTACTGTAAAAGTATACTACAAAAAAAATATTATATGTTTAAATAAAAATAAAAACTCAAATTCAAAGTAAAAATTATTATTCTATATACAAATTTTAATTAAAAAAATTAAATATAAAAAATAAAAAATCTTGTACTACAGTTAAAAAATATTATAAAGAGAATATTAAAAAAAAACGTTAATAAATAAAAAAAATAAAAAAAAATTCATTATATAAATTTAAAAACTCAAAAGTAAAAATTATTACATTAAATAAGAAAAATAATAAAATATTTAAAAAAATAAAAAGTGGTTATAATATAACATAAAACAAAACATTCTCTACTGCAAATAAAAATATTATAAAGACAATAAAAAACATAAAAAAAATAAAAAATTTATTCTAAGAAAATAATATTAATAAGAAATTAAGTATATTTATTAAAAATAAATATAAATAATAAAATATTAATAATAAAAATAATAAAAGTTTGAATATATTCTAATAAAACTATTATAAAATATTTAAATAATTTTGTTTCAAGTAAAAAGTAGTTATAAAAAATTAAGTATATTTACTATAAAGACATATAAATAAAAAAATATTAATAAAAAATACTAAATAAAAAAATTAAGTAAAGTTTACATACATTTTAATAAAACTTCTACAAAATATATTAATTATATAAACTTTATTTAGAAATAATTTTAGAGACAAAAAAAATTAAACAAGTTACATAATTCACTTCTTTTATTATATTATAAAAAACTAAAATAAACTTTTTAATAATATAAACCAATTTTTAAAATTAATTTTATTAATAATAAAAAAAATTTTCAAAATATAAACATAAAAAATATAAAAAAAAATAAATTTAAAAAGTTAGCAAAACTATTAATCAATTAAAATATAATAAAATTTAAAAAAAAAATAACTTTTTTATACCATTTCTAAATAATAATTAAACAACCTATAGAAAAATAATAAAATAATAATTATAAAAAAATTATATAATATAAAGAAATATTCAGCACTTAATTAATAAACATAAAGAAGTTTTATACTACTTTAAAAATTGTATAATAAAAATTATTGTAATAAGGGTTTATAAAAAAATTAATATTAAAATCACGTAAAGTCTGTTCCCTTTGTACTATTATTAGTTATAATGACTAATTACTAATATAATAAAAATAATAATATATACTACTTTTAATATATATATAAATAAAGTTTTTAATAAAATTAATAAAAAATATTTAATTATTAAGTACAAATAAAAATTTTTTAAAGTTTAAAAAAAAAAATTAATATAAAAATAAAATAATATTAAAGACTTTTACAAGAATATAAAAAAATTTAGCGTAAATTTAAAACTACTTTAGAAGTCAATCTAATAATTAAATTTTTAAATAAAATTTATTAAATTCAATATTAATTCTATACGTTAAAAATAAATATATAAAAAACTTATTAAGAAAAAATTTATGTCAATAAAAATAATAAATAAAAATTATAAATCTTTAGATTTAAATAAAAATGAAAAGAAATTTTAGCAAAAATTGGATACTACTATAAAAGTAAATCTTATAATAATATTTATTTAGTATTAATTTTATACTTTAAAAAAAATACTAAATATAATTTTACTTACCATAATAAAATTTATAAACTAACAAAAATAATAAATAAAATTTATGATACAAATAATAATAATAAAAAGCATAAACTTTATACTACTTTTACATATGTCTTGAAAAAAACTAATCAAAGTATTAATAATATTAATAAATTTAATATTAATTTTGAGTTAAATAATTTCTTTACATAAAATTAGAAAATTAAAAATTACATAAAGCCTGTTATTCTCTATTACTGTTATTATTTTATAATTATCGTTAAAATTAATTAAATTAAGCATAAAAATTTCATATTACTTCAATAGTATATTTAATGAAAATATTTTAACATAAAAATATAAAAAAAAATTGTTTAGCACCTAAAAATAAATTAGATAATTAGAAAAACTATTGAGATGTCTAATAAAGAAAAATTATATAGTTAAAAATATTAAATAAATAAAAAAAATATATATACAAAAAAGAAACTACTTAATACTAATATTAAAAAAAATATTATAATACCAGATATGTTTATATATATGCCATAAATAAAAAGTTATATATAAAAAATTAATAAATAAAAAAAATAAAATAATAATATCAGTAAAAAAAAAATTAATATAAACAAAAAATACTTTAAATATTAAAAAAGTTTTATAATATTATCATAGAAATAAAAAAATTATATTGTACGGTCCATTATTTTTATTAACTGAATATTAAAAATTTAAAAAATTTAAAAGAAACAAGAAATTTACTGCATTAAGAACAAATATTAATGAAATAATTATTTCAATATAAAAAAAATATTTTACCGCTATATATAAATTTTTATAACTAAAAAAAAATAAAGTTTATAAAAAGTTAATTTATTGCTTTAAGCAATAATGTTATATAAATATTCTAGTATAGTTTAAAAAATTTTTTTTTATTAACTATAAAAAATAAAAATTTAAAAAATTAAAAGAAAAAACATTTAATGCTTTAAGGAAAAAATTTTAATTAATAAAATATTTTAAATAAAAAAAGGAACACAATACAGTTAAAATTTTTTATTAACAAAAAAAAAGTTTACTGCTTTAAATATTATAAGTAAATATTTTAATAAAAAAATATAATAAAATAATAATAATATTTTTTGTATATAAAAATAACCAGAACTTGAGGGTTTTGGATGTTGTTTAAAAAAAAAGTGCCCTAACGCTTCGCTTGCGGATATGCGAGTTTTCGGGTTGTAGCATAAAAAACTTTTAAGAAGATTTATGCCAGACTCTAACAAAATAAATAAAAATAAAAAAGTAATTATAAAAATATAAATTTAATAATAAATAAAAAAAATTTAATCATATATAAAATAGAAATTATCTTCTATAATAAATTTTTTTTGAATAAAAATTTTAATATTATTTTTTCTATAATATTAGTAATTAAAAAAATCTTGTTTATTATTGTTAAGTAACAATTATTATAAAAAAACTTAAAAATAATATAAACTAAAAAAATTAATCATAAAAAAATAAAAAATAAAATAAGCAAAAGTATAAATGAATAAATAAAATTGACAACAACTTTTATATTAACATCAATTCGTTAGAAAAAGAAATATAAAAATAAAAATATAAAAAAATTCTAAATCAAATTTTATTATTATTATATATATTATATAAAATAAAGATTTTATTATTATTATTTTCTCAATAATATTAATAACAAAAATTTTATGTTTATTATTAGTACTTTATTTTTTAAAAAAAACTTATATTAATATTAATTCGTTAGTAAAATTAATATAAAAAAATAAATATTATATTTTTGTTATTACTATTTATATCATTATCAATCAAAAATCATCACGAATCTTTTGTATTATTATTTTCTTGCTGAAAATATATAAACAACTAAAATAAGAAAGTGATAATAAAGTTTTTGTAAATTTACTAATAATATATTTTAATAAATATAGAAAACTTTTAGACTATAATTATTTTATAAATAATTATCATAATACAAATTTATAAGATACAGAAGTTTATTAAATTAAAAATAACGAAAACTTTTTTGCGTTATCCTCATAAACTTTCAGTGGATATAAAAAATTTTATAGTGATAATTTTCCAGTAACAAAACTAATAATAAATAAAAAATAATTTGTATTTACTAGATAATTTCTGTATAAACTTCTTTTATTAATAGTAGTATAATAAATATAATTAATTTGTATTATAAGTAAAAATAAAATAAATTATGTTATATTTTTTATAGTTTACTATTTTATAACTAATAAAATAAATAATAATGATTATTATATTCAGAACTTCGTTTAAAAAAGTTTATAAAAATTTTTATTAATTAAAAATATATTAATATATATAACAAAAATTTTATAGCTTTTGCATGTTTTATTATTATTATAAACTTATTTTATGTATATAAAAAATTATTTTATTAATTTATTAAAAAAGTCATCATGAAAATAATTAGTTTCTTAAAAAATAGTAATGATAACCATTTGTTTATTATTAAATCATTCATTATAACCATAATAAAAGTACACAATAAGTATATAAATATTTCTATAAACTTGAAAAAGTAAAAAACTTATAAACTACAAAGTTTTCTTTTTGTAAAGTTTACTAATAAGAAAACTCGAAACTATACAATACATTGAGCACGTATCTAACGGGAAAAAATCGGCTGTGTAATGCCACGTGTCTACTCATAATATTCAATAAAGCATAAATACTTATAAAGCAAGCAAGAAAGTTGAAAAAATATACTTGAAAAAAAATAAATGCATATTTAAATAAGATAATATTAATAGTTCATTACTTATAAATAATATCTTTTTTTAAAAGTCTTAAAAGGTATATTAATACTTATACATAAGTGAAATACTAAATTAGTAATGAAGTTGTAATATTATTAGTAATAATAAAAAATTAATACTTTTCAAAATTTTTAATTCCGTAACTATTTACGATCCAAAAAAATAAAATAATAGAAATTATTTAAAAAAACTTGAAAGAAAGTGGTCATAAAAAATCATATAAAAAGCAAACCGGACATGAAGTGGAACTTCTCTTTTAATAAAGCATAACGATCCAATGAATACCGCCCAAATTTGATCATTTTCGCATTCGGAAGTTCTTAATAAAAATAATAAAAATAAATAATAGATTTTAATTTGTACAATGAAATATATAAGCAATTAGACCCGTTAAGACCGATACTAAATTAACTAGGATATTCTAAAAATAGTAATAAAACTAGTTATAACAGTATTTGGAGTCAACATGCGGCTACACGGGTAGCTTAAAAACAGAAATCGGTGTGTACGCGCCGAGTGTTTTTTTTATACGTAAAAAATCATGAGAGTCTAAAGAAGTTAATGGAGTTAAAATATACCAAAAGCTTCATAAAAGGTACCCGATAACAGGTGTTATAAAAATATCAGAATTCATAAACAAAAAACTACCAAAGCATTCATACGTGGATAAATACAGAAAGCAAAAAGATGGCAAATTGGATCCAAAAAAAACATTAAACCTCATAATTGTGTGCAATTCCGACGAAAGGATGCAAATAAACAAAAAGCTATACATAATTACACATTTAAGCATACAGAATGACAACATTAAAAAGATAACTAATTAGAGCAAGTTTAATAAAATGGCAACAAAAGGTACGAAATTAACCAAAAACCACCAAAGGCTAGAAGTTGCAGCAATTAAGCACTTGGAATAATGATAATAAAAGACACAAGAAAGCTTCTAAGCACTAACTAAATATATTACTATAGTAAAATTGTAAGTTGGCGAGTATAAATTACCAAAAGTAATAAATCTACCAATATTATAAAGAAAGCTTATATTGACCCAAAGAAACAAACTGAAACAAATACATATACAATGAAGCAAATTAGGATACAAAGCGGCAAGTAAACGTTTAATGCGATAATTAACGAACTGTCATAATCTGGCCAATCTCTTTGCGACGGTCGGCCAAGAAGAGTGAAGATATGATCAAGCTGAGCCACTTCAGAAGTTCCTGTTTAGCAAAAAAAATAAAGGTATGCCAAAAAAAAACTTGGAGAAGAAACCTTTTAAAAGAACTTTATTTAACAAAAGTTCACTAAATATACAACCAACAGACCACAAATCAACGGCCGTTGAATACATTTTTTCCCCTACAATAGTAGTAATAATAATATAATCAATAAGAATAATAAGAATGTAGTTAAAGTCAGTAGATGATAAAGTTTTAAAACGAACACGAATATATGAAATTATAAATTTATTATTAATATCTTATATATCCAAAAAAATAAGGAAATATGAAAACAGAACATTTGGAGATTTAAAAGCAAATACTTATAAACAAAAGCCAACCAATGTATTTCAATTTATCTATATTTTTATTGTTCATATAACTCTCTCAATACCAATAAAAATTATGTAGGAATAGACGCCAACAATTTAAACTTCAATATTAAATAAGAAAAAAAAGTGTCACTTCCATTGCTTAATAATATTTTTTAGCAAAAATGTAAGAAGGAAAAACAATATCCAACATTTGCTGTAGCAAGGAGAAGTATGAATAGAAAAAAAGGTATTCAATATTATCATGTATATTTCTTATTTATTAAATTAGATGATTTTATTTGTTTATTACATACATAACAAATTTTTTATTATCATTTTCAAAAAAACATTCAGCTTCACTAAAAAAACTTTAGTAGAATAAATAAAAAGTTATTTATAATTTATTAAGTAAATTTTTTTTATAAGGTTACAATACGTTTGCGAGGGAAAAGCATATAAATATAGCAAACCCAATAAAAGTTCAGGGCAGCGATACCAGAGCGTAACAACCAATGGTGTGTACGGTTTTAACGGATCGCCGTACTCCCGAGCTAATCCAAAGTCGCCGATCTGATTATAGTAATAGTAATAATAATAATAATAATAATAATAATAATAATAATAATAATAATAATAATAATAATAATAATAATAATAATAATAATAATAATAATAATAATAATAATAATAATAATAATAATAATAATAATAATAATAATAATAATAAACCTTAAGAACGCCGTTATTGCTCAGTAAAAGATTTGAAGGTTTTAAGTCTCGATGAAGAATCCAATTTTTGTGCATGTGCTCGACTCCTCTAAGCAGCTAAAGTTACCATTATTATTATTGTAAGAGTTAATTTTTTTAATTATATAAGTATTATTATTATAATTATTAATATAAATAAAATTATCTTTACTATTGTTATTAGTTTATTATTATTATTACTATTGTAAGTATATAAATAATTTTCTTTACTATTGCAATTATCATTATTATTAGTATAAATGTAATTTAATGGTTTATTATAATTATTATTATTTGCAAGTTCGCAAAAACCAACAAGATTACGTAAAGTATCTGTTAATAATAATTAAAATATACGTGCATAAGTAGCATTTTTGTTTCGGACAACTTAAAGGGTTCCTTCATGGAACTCATTAAAGCTAAAGTTTAAAATGAAATAATAATAATAATAATAGTAATAAACTACAAAATAATAGAATAACACGTAAAAATAATTATAATAACTAATAGAAGTATAGAATAGCATTAAGTAAGAAAAAATTTGTTTTAGTATTTTATATAAAATAGTAACTAAAAAATTATAAAAAAATTGATAAAAAATTAAATTAAAAGTAATAATAATAATAATAATAATAAAGTAGACAAAAATAGATAAGTAAAAACTAAATAATGTAATTATAAAAGTTGACAAATATTATATTATAGGAAATATTTTTATTAAGCACAATTATAAATTTTATTTTCAGGAAAAAAGACACAATACTTATTAAGATAAAAAAAGTTAGAAAAACTTTATTAAGGCGCTATTAACATAATTCTGCAATGTAGAGAAATGATAATTATATTAAAATCTAATTCCCTAATATAAAAATGTTGGTGTGAAAAAGCCAATCATAGTATTTACTAAAATTCACAAAACTGAGCATTCCATGTGATTAAAAAATCGTTAAAAAAAATTTAAATAGACATAAAACTTTTCATATAAAAGCATTTTTTATTATAATATTCACTACTAAAAAATCGTTGTAAATAATGAAATAAAATCCTTAAAATACTTTTTATACAAAAATTATAAATCTTCACTAAAAACAATTTTTTAAAACCAATCATATATCAATACCTTTAAGGTCATGCTCAACATAATCCATAACAATATAAATATCGTCCATACCGCTAAGCGAAGTTCATATAAGTAATATTCTGGTCTACTAATAATAGTTTATGTTTTCTTTATAAACCTGCCGACTACAATTTCTCTAACATTAACAATATTCGGATGTTTGCATCTCAATAAACAGTTAATCTCTCGAAGAGAAGTTATAGGAAAACCTTCAAATAATAATTAATATATTAATAGTGTATGATAATACAATTATTTACATGTATATATTAAAAATTTGTATGTTTCTTATTTATTTCAATAACAGTAAAGCGCCTATATTAATAATTATAAAACAGTCAACTCGGCTATAACAAAGCCCACTCAAAAAAGTGAAGTCAGCCCAATAGTGAGTTGCTAGCGAAAAAAAAAAGAAGGACGACTGTTAACAAATAAATACTCCACCTTCTTTTTCTTTTTCCATTTTCAACCTTTTCAAGGCCACAATCGCACTAGTAAGTTTATCTTTTGCGCGGTAAACTACTCCGTATTGGCCTTCGTCAATGCGATTCAGGCGCTCGTAATTGTGTACATCCCGGCAGCCCTCAGTAGCTGGAAAGTACCTTCAAATGATTATTACTATAAAAAATAAAAAATGTATAATTTATTTAATAATTTAACTTAGTAAAAAATAATTCTTTGAAACTTAAAAAAATTTCTAGTTTTCTACTCGTATAAATATAACCACAACTTTACAATGAATTCTTTAAAACATTTCTTAATGTTATAATTCTACCTACTTTTGAAAAGGTTACAACTTCAAATCAATTATATTGATTTTTATAAAACCACATGTGGAGTTTTTTAAATACCAACAGCGAGAAAAAAATAAATTAATAGTAATTGAAAACTAATTATTATTTACCGACAGCTCTTCAAATAATATGCAATAACAATTTGCGTATAGTTACCGAAAACGTCAAGTATATAATAGTACACACGGCAGCTCATTTCTTTTTTCTGCAATTACGAAACAAAGCGCGCCCTGGCTAGTCAACAAAGTACATGCTTGAAAAATAGTGAACGATCATTACTATAATTACTTTTTCCCAACGTATTGCCCTTATTATAGTTCTGAAAGCATGAAAAGAACCGCGCTCTGGCTAGTCAAGAAAGTATGTGCTTAAAGAATATTGTATGACTAATACTATAAACTACATTTTTACAAAGTGTTGCTCTTAATACCTTTTCCATGCAAACGCAAAGAGAGCACTGCCCACGGGCTGGTATACAAACCACGTGCAGCTTCGTGCTTAAAAAAATAGTGAATAATTATTGTATGTTACATTTTTATAACGTTTTCCTTTTGTTCAGTGCCGTTTGGCGTTTTAGTTTCAATGTTTGGAGTTTTTGAATCTTCTTCATCTTCAGGTGAAAGAGCAGTCACAGCCTCTTCGAAGATATCAATAACATCCTTTTCTTGAAAAACTAAACTTTCTTTTTTTTCAAGCTCTAATAATAATATTAAGAGTTGTATAGTTAAACAAAATTATTTAATATAAATTTATAAATAATTTAATTTCTTCACAAATATTTTTATTTAAAAAGAATAACGTTTTTTTGCTGTTAAAAGACGATAACATTATATTATAATGGATGAGAAATTTATAATAAAGAAGTTTGTATAAAGAACTTCTCACAAGAAAATAAAGAAACGACGTAAATCACACAAACGTTTGCTCTTTACTGTGCTACTAAGAAAAATTACATTTCAAACTTTCTGAGTTCGTGTGTGTTAAGGATATTTATTGTGATTTATAAAATATAATTAATATATTTTAGGCATATTATTACCAGCGTGGGAGTGCTTAAAAAAATGCTAATTGAAAAGTTGTTTGCTTATTCCAAAGCGTATTATTAATAATGTAATGGTAATAATAAAAGTAATAAATAGTAATAACATATATTTATTTTAATGCCAATAACAAGTAATATGTATGCGTCCCCATAAAGCTATGTTAACTTGATTTAGACAATTATTAATCTTTAGATCTATAAATAAAAAAGGTAACGCTTTAAACTATTTTTCTACTACATCTACAGACAACGCAAACAAACTTCTTTTAGAAGTTATAAAATAATAAGTTAAATATTAATATTTGAAAAAAAATTTATTAATAAAAAAAAATCAGAGCTGTAAAAAATGCTAAACTAAAACATTAAGAATATAATTTTAAAGATGAAAAGTAATACAAAAGTAAATTTACTAACCTTGAATATTTAATAATTATAAGTCCAATATAATTATTAAAAAAATTAATTTTATAATAAATTTAAAAATTGTTTAAAACAAACTTCATATTAGTAATATGAGTTGTCGTATTATTTAATAAATTGGAAAAGTAATAGGAAAATATTAAAGTAAAAAACCAATATAATTAGAAATTAAATTTTTTTTTAATTATAGGCAATTTTAATAACTGTACAAGTTATTATACTACTTTTCAACATATAATTGAACATATAATATATTAAACAATATTTATAAAACTAAAACTTTACTAAGTGTAACTGAGAATAAAAGAATTCCTAAGACTATTATATTAAAGTTATAATGAAAAGTTATTTAAACAATATCGGACAATTTAATAGATAGTAGCAGAAGTTATATCTTAAAAAAAGCTTATTATTATAATAAAAACGAAAATTTCAAATTTAGTTATGAAATTTAACCAATATTAATAACTATAATAGCTATATAAAATATTTAGTATTATACAACATAATATTATAATAAATAATCTTCTAACAAACAAACTTAAGTAAATTTTTATAGAAATTTAAAAAGATATTTAAATAAGATGTCATCTATAATTAGTATTACTTATAATTTTAAATATTCCGAGCTGAGAAAAAGTTAGTCACGAATCACATATTATATTAACAAAACTACTCTCTTCCAAGTCCTCCTCGTCAGAAACTTCGGCCCATTTGGGTTTCTTTATGGTAGCATTCTCTTCTATTGATAGATGCAAAGAGCAATCCTTCAAACTACTATCCACAGTTTCATCTTTGTTCTTTGTCCTTTCAAAAAGGGTAGATTTTTCTAAATTTCCTTCAAGTTTTTGGAATAGAATATCTGGAGAAACAGGTAACTCTTTGGAATTAAGATTAGATTCTTCGTTGCTAACGTTTAATAAAAATCCACAAGAGCTAGTACAAGAGTCTTGAGATTGAACTTCGAGAGGAGAAAGTTCAATTTTTTTTTCTATTTTTTCAGTAGCCTCTTCTTGGTCCGAACTTTTTAATTCTTTAACTTCAGTATTATTAGAAACAACCACCTCGGTATGGTTATTTTTGGTTTTTGTAGCCTCTTTTAAACTCCCCGGAGGAAGTGTAGTAAGCTGCTCCGACTTTGAAATAAGTTGAGCTTTATGAAATTTTTCTTGTAATAGACGCTCCTCTTCTTTCTTTTCTTTAAGTAACAGCGCTAACGGCTTTGGATCTGGAATTTTATCAAGTTCATCTTGATACTTTTTCATAGTCCATAATGTAATAGGCGAAATCCTGCTTTTTATGAAACAGGTATTAATGGAGAATATAATTACAAATTCTCCAGTTTTTAAATGGGATAAAACGGTACACCCATGCACGATTTAAACCCTCGCTCTGAGCTAATACTTTTTTTTTTCCATTGGTGCAAGTAAAAATATATAAAAAACTTTTTTATCTTCAATGTTTTCAATTTTAACTTAATAGTTCTGTAATAGCTTTAATAGTTATCCACAATTTTATAGAAAACCGAATTATATGCTGTTATTTATAGTTGATAAGTAAAAACTCTATACTCGCGGGCCCCTTTTGGTCGCATAAAAAAGTATTAATAATATCCTTTACGTTCATAAATTTTTTTTCTAATTTGTGGTGAAAAATGTTATTAGATGCAATAAAAAATCTGCTTAGAGTATGCTAAAAAAAATAATAAATTTAATTTAATATAGCATATAGTTTGAAGTCTTATACTTAGGTTTACGTTTATAATTTTTTTTTTTAATGACGGTAGAAAAAATATTGGAGAAAAATAAAAATCTTAAGAAATGATAAGATAAATTTAGTTTTACATAAAGTTTAATAATTACAAGAACTATATATAATAACTTTTTTTATTCTCAATTAAGGTAGAAAAATGTATTAGATGCAACATAAAAAGCTTTACAGTGAATGCTAAAAAGATGTAAATTAACAAATTTATTTAGGATAAAATTTAAGGACTTCGAACGAACTATACGCTAGAAATTTTTTTCTTTCCCAAATCGTTCAGCAAGAATGCACGTGGAAAGCTAGTCACCCACATAACCATATTTAATTAATTATCTATTATACGAACGCACTAAGCGTCCGGCCCCCCTTTTTCTTCCTTCTTTGTGCGCAGTTGTGGAATAGTTTAATAAACTTGCTTCCTCTATTTATACCAATTTGATTATTATAAGCCCCTACAGGCAACCCTAGAGAGTACGCGAGTGGGTGTCTCTTGCCTATATACTCTACTTAAAAAGTAACATTAACGTTGATATTTCTTGGAATTTCTGTAGAGTTAGCTAACACTGAAACATTACTGCTAGCTTTGTGTGAGCAGCAGCGCGAATTGAGGCAACTACTTAATGACCAGAAATAGGAAATACCGGACTTCTTGAAGGGAGGAGTTGAAGCTTTTAAAGAAGAGTTACGATATAAAACGGGTGACTTAATAAAGTACTAGAAGCCTTTATTCGCGAACGATAAACTTAAAATATTTTTTTGAAGTACGCGATGTGAAGAACATTATAAGAGGTGGATGTCTCTAATAAAGTTGGGCCAACTTTTCCCGTAAAGAATTCGTAGGCCCCTCTTTTTACGGATAAAAAGTGCAAAAGGTCTCAAATCTGGAATATTAGTAGAACATAATACCAGTAATAGTAATAGAAGAGTTAATTGTAAAGGTAAAACTTGTAAGCATTAAAGTGGCGGTAATGACACTTATTTTAACAAACGATTGTAGGAAAAAAAAATATAATTAGATGCAATATAATATTCTATTTAGAGAATGCTTAATCTCATTGTATATAATTTAAAATTTATGACTTCTAACGAACTAGACGTTTGTAATATTTTTTAATCTCATTTGTTTAATTAAAATTATTATTAGACGCAATGTAAAAATCTTTTCAGAGAATTTCAAGATTATATTAAAATTAATTTATTTAAAATTGACTGATTTCTAATGAACTACCTATCAACTTCCAACTGCATTAAAGTTACGTTTAATAGAACTTTAAGCTTTAAGATAAGATTTTTTGCAATTACCAGTTGGTGTTATCATTGAACTGATACACACAAAAATCGAGTTTTAAAAACCTGAACAATCTAAGTAATTTTATTGCCTCTATACAACCCTTAATTTCATATAAACGCTTAAGCAACTTTTTTGAATGTTAAAAGTAGAAGTTTTACCTTACACCACCAATTAAATTGTTACTATGTTTTATAATTTTTCGTAAAAATTCTGTAACGAATTAATTGGTTACAATATCCCCCATACATATATATAAGTTTAGATTGAGATCTATTTTATGTAGATTGTTTTGGTGGAGGAATTGCTTTTTTACGTCTTCTCTTTTCAAATTTAAGTATCAATTTAAACGATTTTGCACGTGATTCCTACGTGCAAGATTGTTTCAATCTTCATACGAAATTTTCATGATCACTCATTAGGGGGGTTTTCTTTAAAGCCTTTGAGTGACTATAAAGGATAGCTTATTTAGAGACCTTAATTTAATAATGCGCAAACTTTCAATCGATAAAGATAAAGATGTAAAATGTCTTTTAGATCAAGGCAGGCCTTATACTGGGATCGCTCGTGAACGAAGTGTCAGTAGGCCATAATACCCCAGATCAAAGCTCAATATGATCCAAATCCTTGCAAGGAGCCTGGGCTCCCAAAGATCTTGGAAAACCTGCATGTAGCTCGACTTGTGCGACCAATGATTTTGGTGCAATTGAACCTGCATAGAAAGCTAGAGAGATCATTAAAACAACATTAGATAGATCAGCTTCAAGGCCGAAACGTATCGAGAGCATTACATTCTTCTGGTCTTCATGCGAAAAAAAAGTTGATTAAACCTACTTTGACAGGCCGTTACATGCAACTAAAATTTGAGTTTGCGAAGAAGTAGAAAAATGGGCCTTTTCTGACTGGGAAAAAGTAAATTTCCCGGACGAGACCAAGATCAATTGATAGGCTTCAGAAGGTATTATTAGTATTGGAAGCGATCCGGCGATAATCGAATAATACTTGATCACCAGGTGGTGCAAACGTATAAACGTGGGGGATCGATTATGATTTGGTCCTGTATAAATTCTGAGGGGTCGAGGTTTGGGCGCTTGAACAATCAGAATGGTGAGATATAACACCGGATTAATGCTACTATCCAATTGCCAGTATGCCAAAGAAGAAACAAGTAGTGATTCTGGCGAAAGCGAGCTATACTTAATTATTTAAAAAACTCGTTTATTAAATTAAATTTTTTCTGCGTGCAAAATTCTTTTTATATTCTTTCAATTTCACAAGCTCATATCTTTTTTTCGAATATTAAACCATTTAAAGATCAAGTATTAACAAAATGTAGCTATAACATAGAAGTTTACTGTGTATAAATTTTAAAGGAACACATTACGTTATTGAAAAGTTATTCTATATTAAATTAAAAACTGAAAAACATTGAAAACAATTTGGCAAGATAGTGTATATATTCGATAACTGCCTTAGCATAGCAGACTTTAGAGCTTTTACATAAGAACTTAATAGAAAATTTTTTTTATGTATTTTCTTTTGTGCACTGTAGCAGTAACGCAATAATGCGGACAGCAAACTTTAAAGTCTTAAATATTTGCTTAGCTGTTACCTACCAGGTAGTGTAACCAATTAAAAATATTGAAAATAATTTAAAGTCATGATGAGAATGCTTGTTTATAAATTATATTTTTTCAGTGTCTATGTAGGGTCTCAATCCTTTATATTTGTCGCAACAGCGGAAAGAAGAGTTTTATAATATAAAAATTCGCCAAGAAAAGAATGCTAACATGAAATGCTTTTAGATAGAAGAAAATTATTTTCAAAGAATCAGATATTAATAGGATAAACATTAGCTTAATTGATTGCACGTGCCCAGTAAAAAGATTTCTTCCTTAATAATGGGTTTTCGTAATAAAAACTTTTTTGTATAATTGGGCTTGCAATCAGTAAGCTACCACAATAAAAAATTGAAAGTTTTTGCAACTTAAAAATTATTAATCGTTTCTCTAAAGAAATTTTTACTATTAAATATTATATATTTTTTAATTTACTAAACAATGGTTTAATTGGCTTGAGGTTTTGATAACCTTCGAGTAAATCTTTCTCAAGCTATTTAGACCGTTGAAAATTTTATAATATAAAATTATAAGCACACAAATAGCAATAATACTATACAAGCAAGAAAAAGAAATATTTGCTTCTATTAGGTAACCTATATTTTATAAAAATGATTCAATATAATTATATATGCCAACTCAAGGCAGGGCTTATGAGTTTGTTAACGTATGCTAAAGAAAAATATATAAAACATAACCCATAAATAAAAAGCACTTAATAAATATAGTAACCCGAAAGAATGATATTTAATAGGAGTCACTTATATATGTTTACAAAAAAGAAAAGTTTTTCTCTATGTAAATGGTATAAAATCAGACCAGGCGGTAGTTATTTAGTGTCTTTTGGCAATTATCTTTATTTATACGCGCTCGTAGCATAACTTTATAACTTCATTTCTTGTATATAAAATATTCATTTTAGTATATATTTTAGATTACTTTATAAAATATCTTTGGCCCCCTCAAGGAAGGCGATGGTTCTAAACTAACTTAATAAACTGTTTTTTTCAAATTTTTTTCGACATTGAAGACTTAAGTAAACTTATCTTTTGACATAACGTTACTACAACAGCATTAAGTGCTTATTTTTCACTAATTA